TTTTAATAAAAAATCGCGCGATTTTTTATTAAAAATTTTCGCCTGCTGCGCTTGTCAGTTTTTTTTTTATATATTGTAGGTATTTAACCCCATACCCTCCTTTACTACTAATTCAATGCTGAGCAGGAAAATGGGTACGATAAAAACTATTCTCTTTTATTGTCATTTTCTTAGGTGTGGCTGCACTCTTCTAATGTCAGTGTGAAACCATGGTTGAATCAACGGTTCTGTATTCACAATGTGCGTATACATATATAAGTGCGTGATAATTATTAAAACTTACTTAATTTACTAAAAATACATCATAAATGTAAAAAATATGTTTACATTTCATTGTGCGGGGTTTTAATGTAACTATTTTGCCGAAGTGTCTACATAAATATAGTGTTTATTGTGTGAAATGGCGCCGAGAGGTTAGTTCAATTTACAAACTTTAACAACAAATAACTTAAAAACTATAAGCCTCCTGCGGCAAAAAGTATATATATTTGCAATCAGGAGAACACCCCACATAGCCACTTTTTTTGTACGCGGGGGATGCCAAACTAAAATTTTCCCAATATATCTACAAGTGTATAAAATAATATTGTGTTACAAAAAATTATAGAACTTTTAGCTACAAGTGAATCACGAATAACTTGTAGACTTGTTACAATTGTAAACTTTGTATTACAGGCCCCAGGTCGCGGTCGCGGTTTAGATGTCTAGCAAGCTAACTAGAAAGCTGACTACCAGCTTAACATCGAGGGAATATTGAAAATAACGCGAAGTTTTTGCTATTTGTTAGTCAGATGAATAGCAAGTTTAATTCAATCTCATTTAACTAAAACATTAGTGCGATTCATAAAACGTCGCAAAGTGGCATTTTTGGCGAAATGGCAATGTTGCGAACAAATTTGTATGAACGACCTATCGCAACTCCGGATTGCAAATATAAAATTTTTTAAAAATGCCGCGCGTTAGAGAAAAAGAAAAGTTTTTACAATTATATTTCGAAGCAGCCTTAACTGATATACTTTTTCTTGAAGTAAGTATTTGAAGACAATAAAAAACATGTGTTTCGCGACTTTGACTTTGCAATGATTACCAGCTCAAATAACATGGCAATGTCGCAATTTTGTCGCAAAAAGTGTCCTTACAAAAGTAATCAGCTGTATCGCAAGGTTGCAAATTTTGCGACAAATGCAACATTGGCAACAACTTTGCGACGTTTCATGAATCCCACTATCCCGCTACTATTAAAATAGTAGCGATAGCGATGTTAAGCTTTTCTTAACTTTCCTTTAATGTTGATGCGCATTTTGCACTTGTAATTCACATCTTTCACTTGTATGCTGCTGAATATCTGACAGACGAAAACAAACATGCACAAAGTCAGCGTAATCTACTAGTCAGCTTGTTAGTTAGGTGAGCAGAAAACTGAGTATAATGTGCGCTCTCGTATAGTCGCCTGAGTTTGTTTCGTTAGTCAGCTTGCTAGTCATCTAAACCGCGACTAGGACCTGCTGTTTTTTTTGCTAAATATTCTTCCTTATTTAAATTTTTAGCAACCTAGACACATACATTTTTGGGTGAGTTTGTCCGTATTATGTACATTAAATTAAATAGTACTGAAAAGTACTGATGTACAAATTTCCACAAAAATAAATCTGGCAACCCTAACTATGACCATCGTGTTTTACAAATATTAAAAAAAATGATAATTGTTCTGAAAGTATGTATGCACATAAATTGATGCCCTATTTATTGAAATCAATTAAAAAAGGCGAGGCTAGGTAATTTAAGTAGAAATACGGCCTTGGATTTTAGAAGTGTTTCTGATGAATTCTTACTATTTACTAAAAATTTCGTATCTGAGAAGGTTGTTTAGCGTAAAGTTTGCTTCTAACAGGTCTATTCTGCACAATTTTGTGACCGTTACCGTTGTGAATGTTACCACTTCTTGTCACCGCGATTCTAGGTACGTTGGTAATGCAGTGAAAATATTCAGCAGTTCAGCTATGAAGATTTGTGGCAATTCTTGTATTGCATATTTCACGGGGCAATATTTTGTTACCAGTTTATGAGATGGTAACCAAATTTACCGGTTACAAGAGCGCACAGAATGCGAAAAACATTTAAAAATTGACAGACGCTTTAATTACCGGTTACAAACTTTATGTTACTAGCGCAGAATAGACCTATAACACTCCTATTGTACTAATAAATTGATTTAAACATGGTAAATGAAAACATGTCTGCAATATTTTACGTAGCAAAGGAAAATTCATTTAGTGATGTTACTCATATGTAATTGTTTACATTACACTAATTAGTCTAAAATTTCTTATATATATTTCAGAACTTATACAATAATCATGGTTGTACTCTCAAAATATATTGACTTTGCGGTTAAAAAGTACGATGGGAGTGGGTTTTCAAAAACCGCCATTAGCAATGCTATACTCGGTGCAGCAATTTGCGCCTACACATGTAAAGTCACATATCTGTTAATTGGAAAACATTTTATCAATAAAGATGAGCAACATCGGGCAACGTTGCTTACAAATATCGAAGATGAAGACCTGTTAGTTACACCAATGGATGATGAAGACTCGAAATTAGCCGAAGCTGAAAAATTGGTACTTGCCAAGCAATTGAAAAAGAATAATAATACACAATTGGAGCCAGGCCTGAATAAAGAATTCATACAACAATTAAGTAAACTTGTGAAGATTATGATACCAAAATGTGTATGTTATGAGACTGGCCTACTGATTGTTCACACTTTGTGTTTAATATCGAGAACATTCTTATCAATTTATGTAGCTGCTTTGGAAGGCGCTATAGTCAAATTTATAGTGCGAAAGGACGTTAAACAATTCGCTATAGTGCTCTTGAAATGGTTTGGAATTGCGATACCCGCTACGTTTATAAATTCCATGATAAGATTTCTGGAAAGCAAGCTTTCATTAGCCTTCAGGTAATGAAAAAATTTAATTTCTGTTATATATGAAATGAAGTGGCAAGGCCACTACATTGAATTGATATTTTACACATCTAGCAACTGTTGTTGCTAGAACATTCTTCTTATCATTAATTCTCAGGATTTTCTTTGCAATGTACTTTTCACTCATATTATTTATTGACTAAAATAAAAATTTGTATACAAAAATTTTGATGGTGGATTAATAGTATTCATTATTTCTTGAGTAATAAGTTTTGACAAAGGGAAACCATAATTCCTTCACAATCATTATTATTGAAAAAACTTCGAGTGGGCGCATCAAAAACATTCTAATTTAATGTTGCATGATAATAAAAGGCCAGGCCGGTTAAAAAATACGCGACCTGAAGCGTAGTGTTGTTAATTTAAGCTGAAATAGCGATACGATTCTCAATTTGGCCATACAAAAAACTGTCACCTGAAATTGCCTCAACTTCAGGAATTCAACTCGGAAAATTGCATATTGTGAGTTATTAATGAGCAAAAAGAAGAAAAAATAAACGTAAATAATAAGCAAATAAAAACAAAACAAAGGAACCGAGCAAACAAACAACAAACAAATAAACAAACAAACTGTCATAGAAATTGAGATGGCAGTGTAAACAGCTACTCAATTTGAAATTGAGTGTTGAAATTGCGGAATTTAGACGTTGTGGAAGTGCTCTTTAAGTGAAAAAACTGCTTTATTATGACTTGTTGATGAGAAAGTGCTTAGGGAAATTTTTGTTTCCTTATGTACAAGATTAATCTTTTAAATAAGTATATTTGTTACGTAAATACTTCGCAAAATTGCCCATTTTCATTGGTTGTTGTATATAAATCCCATTAAACTAATCACATCTTTCTGAAGTAGCTTAAAGCAGAGCTTCCTAAAGCAGGTTCCGCGGAACCCAAGGATTCCGTAGAAAAGTCATCTGGGTTTCGTGAAATGATTAATTTCTGGCTGTTAAATAATTAAACAGATACATAAAATCATATATACAGTGACGGGCAAAACTGTAACATGGTGTAACACTTTTTACTTCAGCCATCGCTATCTTTCCAAGGTCTAACGCCTTTGATACTTTTGTTGTATATTCTTGTTGGTACATCCCTACTCCCTCTCTCATAACGAATTAAAGTCAATCCAACAACAATAATAAAACCAGCAGACCAAAATGTAAATTAAGGCATATGTTACAGTTTTGCACTGTGAGAAATTAGTATGATTTTTATTGTGTTAAGTATGTCCAATCATTTGTTATTTTTACTCAGTCAGTCCTTTGTAATAGTCATTCAGTCTGTCGTTTGTAATAGTCATTCAGTCGGTCTTGTAATAGCTTAAGTTTTGGATTTGCTAAATAAATTTACAACCCTGTGTTCTACTTTCGCTTTGCTCTGTTTCGCGATCCCGCTGATTGAATTGCCATATAAGTTCGGGCAACGGCACAAATTTTCATCCATCACGCGAGCAAACCGAGGGTAGAATACTGGAAAATAAACTTGCGGAAGTGCGCATGTTAAACCAAAATCTTGGTGTCGTGATACGCTTTATTTTCCATTTTACTTGTTCGTCGCCGAAGTATATACGCTAATTTGCCGCCATTTCGTCAACGAGTGTGCTAATTTGCCGCCATTTAGTCATTCGCAATTTCACAAGAAAGCGACTGCCGACTTTGTGCCAATTTTAACTGGCAGTATTTGAAGCGAGGGATTACATTTGTCATAGCACACAAATTTGCTGTTTGATCATCAAATTATAAGGACTTTGGAATGGAGCGTTCGCCTGTACGTCGGAGTAAGCGCAATCAGCCAGAAGGACTAGTGCCTGCCATTCAATCGTCAGGCAGCTTAGCGAAGATTGCCGCCACGTCCGCTAAAGCTGCCGAACACCATAGCGCTCCACCGCCCAGTGTCATGAAACTTAATGGGCCGGGCACTCAGCCGTCCAGTGCTCCGCCAACCAATGCCTCGACATTCAGCGCCCCGCAGTCTAGCGCTCCGCCGTCGAGTGCTTCGGCATTCAGCACCTCGCAGTCTAGCGCTTCGACATTCATCGCTCCGCATTCTAGCGCTCCGCCGTCCAGTGGTTCCACATTCATCGCCCCGGAGTCTAGCGCTCCGCCGCCCAGTGCCATGAAACTTAGTGGGCCGGGCACTCCGCCGTCCAGCGCTCCGCTAATTAATGCCTCAGCATTTAGCGTCTCGCCAGCTAGCGCCCTGCCATCCAGTGTTATGCCACCTCCTGCGCCAGCGTATAGCGCTCCATTGACTGGCGCTTCGTCACACAGAGATCCGCAACGTAGCATTCAGCAGTTCAACGTGCCATCATACACAGCGAAGCCATCTAGCGCTCCACCAGCCAGCGGCCTGCAAGCAAGTATATTCGACCAGACTCACCAGGTAAGCGATTTTACTTCAAATCCTATACATGTCAATGCCAACCCGAACGCTGCCGCCTCAGTCAGCGTCTCTGCTAGCGTCAACCTCGCCAGTAGCGAATTCGCCCCTGTAATTGCCACAACGATGGCGCCAACTGCCCCTGTAAATGACAGATGGACATTCTTTATATAATGCAGCAACAAATAAGCATGTTAGAACTACAACTTAAGAATGCTCAGGCCCAAATATCTGAAGGCGAACGCCAGCGTATTGCAACAGTACCGCCACATTCGATGCCGCCTGTAGTCTCGGCCTCCCAGCCGACGTATATGGTAGTATATCAGCTTTACCACATGTCCCTATTACTACAAATAGGGGCTCTGTTGACCCTCTCAACGGGCAGCCAGCCACCTCAGTGCAATGTAGTCGTCACCTTATTGCAACAAACACGCAGCCAACGCCTAAAATTTTTTTTTGAACCGGGGTCGTCAGATATGTCAGGCAATAGCGCATCTGTGCGTTCACCAGCAATAACTCTAGGGGTCAATCCATCGTTAGTTAACACTGCGTCCTTTCCACGAAAGATAATCGAACTGCCACAGTTTTCGGGGCAGCCAGAAGACTGGCCAATATTTTATGCGTCATTTGTGGAATCAACTGCGGTTTATAATTATACTAACTTTGAGAACAATCAAAGATTAAACAAATGTTTAAAGGGCGAGGCAAGAGATACGGTCAAATCTTTGCTAATTCACCCTAATAATGTATCCGCGGTAATTGACCAACTCCGTTTTCGGTTCGGTCGCCCAGAACAGCTCATACGTAGTCAACTTAAGGTAGTCCGCGATATGCCATGTATTTCTGAAGCTGCCATCCACAAATTAGTCTCGGTTGCAACAATCGCTAAAAACCTCACCGTGTTTCTTCAATCTATCGGTGAAGAAAAACATTTAGTAAATCCGACATTACTAGAAGAACTAATAGCTAAGCTGCCCCTTAGCAAACGTTTAGACTGGGCGAGGTATTCGGTATCGATTCGACCGTATCCCACAATTATCAACTTTAGCGAGTAGCTGTCAGAGGTTGCGAGTTTTGTCCAGATGGTCCAAGACCACGAAGGTCGAGAACCAAAACGCCGCGCAGTGCTACATGCAGCTGCAGAACAACGCCCATTGAAATGTATGATCTGTCAAGGGGACCACCGAGTTGCAGAGTGTCGTCGCCTGCTCGAGGCCAACGTATCGGATCGGTGGAAGATAGCCAAACGTTTACGTCTGTGTTTTAGCTGCCTATCGCCTGGACATGCCACTCGTGATTGCCGCCGCCGGAAAGCATGTCCAGTAAATGGATGCCAAAGACATCACAATCATTTGTCACATGATGATGATGTCTGTCGCCCGGTCAGATCCGCCGCCGCTCCCGATGCACCAAATCCGAACAACGCGGTTCTCAATTGCTCCGGACATCCTTCAGGCAATTTATTGTTTCGAGTGGTTCCTGTCACACTGTACGGTTCAAATAAGCGCGTGAATACGTATGCTCTTTTAGATAAAGGGTCTTCGATTACGATGATGGACGATTCACTAGTACAGGAGCTTGGGCTCAAATGTCAGCAACGTCAAGTGGAGATTCCGGGGTTCGGGGGAAAAGCGGCAAAGGAAAAGGTAGCGGTCGCAAACCTTTTTATCAGTGGTCTGAGTATGAAGAAGCGTCACATGCTTCGCAACGTTCATGGTGTAGCCAACTTAAATTTACCGGTGCAAAGCCTCAGCCAGGGGGATATCTGCAATGCCGTCAGATATGAAAATAAATTACCAGTACAGCCATGTGAAAATGTATCGCCTAAAGTTTTAATCGGTCTAGACCACTGCCACCTTGGGTTACCAACTAACCCGATATTAGCCAATCGCCATGGGCCGTTCGCCACCAAGAATGATAGAATACAAGATTGCGCCGATCAGAGAGGATTTTTGAGAATAACTTTTGTGTGACGTCACACTGGTGCAATTGCGAGAGAGAAATGCCAAAACGTGAGCAAGAATGGAAGAAGAAGCAAAAATATTGCAGGGAAAACGTAAACAATTTGCACCAGTGCACATTAGGTCAAATGATTACTTTTTCTGTGCGAAATTAATAGCAGCTAAAATATAGCATTCTTTTAATATAAAAGGATGGAAACCGTTAAAAAAGTGTAAAGCCAGTAAACAAAATGACTTGGCTTTCGTAAAACAGACTTTTTTATGTTCAAATGATGAGTATATGTGTTAAGTAGCTCTCGAAAACATTATCCAAATACTCAACCCGGAGGGGGTTAAGCTACATAAATAAAACAAGTATGGTCATATGTACATAAATGGTTTCATCTAGGGATTAAAAAAATATATATTATCGAAGTCCCTTAATAAAAAAAAAAA